TGCACTCCAGCTGAGCGACAGAGTGACATATTGTCTCAAAAAATGAATACATAAAAATAAAATAATAATATGCACTAGAGATATTATCCTTGGTTTTCTCTTCTTGAGTTTAACTGGTCTACCTCTATCATCTCCTAACTTGTCAGTGGCTTTTTGCATGATTCCAAATGATCTCTAACTTCACTTTGATTTTTTAATTCCTTTACCTTTTGCAACATTTACAGTTTCACTCTTTAGTCAACTGTCTGACAAAAGCATTGATGTTAGAGGGCAAGATAGCCACTGGTGTCAATCAGGGAGAGAGGTGTGAGTAAGGATTATTTTTATATGTTGTATGTTAATGAGCTTTACCGTGTTATGTTGACTTTTAAATTCGTAGGAAATTTTTATCACTATCCAGATTTGGAAATTAAATATTTGGATAACAAAGAGCTGTTATACATAAAGCATTTGGCCAGATAGGTCCTTAGCAAATGTTCATTATAGATCCTTTCCCTGAGTGTTAGAACTGGTCAGGACCGCCCAGGGTTACTGTAGACATTTTATTTCAAAAACGAAAGCTCACTCTACTAATATGTAGAAAAGTTTTAGGGTGATTGCTTTTCTAAACGTCTTTTGTAAGCTGGATTAGGTGTTGGCTAAATGAGGTAAATTATTTGAAAATGTCTAGTAATTGTGTTTGGCTCTTACTATAAGCTTTTGGGAAAAATCATCAACTTTATATTTTGAAAGGTGAATAACATCAACATTTTTAGAATGTTAGAGCTTTTATGATAGAAATAATACTTTGCGTACATTTGTTATATTTCTGATCTTTATTGGTACAATTTTTCTTAAAAGCTCAGAGTAATTTATAACACAACACTGAGCCTAAATGCATCTCTCAGTGATTTCTCCTATAATGTGGTTACTATTGCTAGCAGGTATTGATAGAGAGGAAATGAGAAAGGAGTTATTCAGTTGTTAGAATCAATCACAACCTCACAACTTTCTATTTTTATGGTTCCAACATATCAGTATCTTCAGGAATTCATTGAGAATTTTTTCTTTACTAACTTGGACTGTAAGCATTACCACTGAAGCAATTAACTTTGCTTTGTTAACAATACAGATTAAACACTGATTAAACACTGATATTTGTCAAAAGCTTTTGGCTTCTTTCTCAATATGTATTTACAACAACAAAATTATATTTTCTTGTTAGATAATGGAACCTGGACTCAACTTTGGCTGGTATCTGAATATCATGAACAGGGCTCCTTATATGACTATTTGAATAGAAATATAGTGACGGTGGCTGGAATGATCAAGCTGGCGCTCTCAATTGCTAGTGGTCTGGCACACCTTCATATGGAGATTGTTGGGACACAAGGTATGTA